GAGTCCAACGGTTGGCTGCCCAAACAAAGCAGATGGAGGTTGTGCACTTGAATTTGTTGCATGCATTGGTGTATGATGTTGATGTGGGAATGATGATCTTGGGGATACTAATGCATCTTCTCCAGCATAATCCATCACATTCTGTGAAAAGAAGTATCCGATAAGCAAATTTTAGAAACTATAATGTGTTTCATTATTTCATATATTTACTGCTAAATAAGATATAGACAATCCAGGTGAAAAAGGTATAAACGAAAAGAAAAGGTAGCCTAATGCATAATACTCCCACAGAATCTGGGGAGAGTCAATATGCAATCCTTTATGCATACACAAAAGGCTATTTCCATGACTCAAAACCCTAGTCACTTATATTACAAAGGAGCAATCCTATCATAAACAAGGGTCCACCTTCTAAGGATAAAGTGCAAACAATCAATGGGCTTAAAAGTTGAATATTTGTTGCTCGTTGGATCAACCAAACAAAATTCCAGAAACCTACATCAGTTATAGCATGTTATAGCTAAAAAGGACCTGAACTTGAGACAGAAAAATCGATCCCAATGAACATGTTGAAGCCATGATCCAGACCAAACATGAATACTAAATATCACTACTATGAACCTTTAACCAGCATATTAACCAATGTCCCACACTGAATGGAACAATGCTCCTCAACTGCTGAACTCATAGCATTTTGAAGATTGCAACAACTTATCATGGTTTGCTTAGACAGATCATGAATCTGTAAGAGTCAACCATATTGCAATATGGTTAATTCACAAAAGCAATGGAGAACAGGGACCAATAAGCTTTTGAATCACAATAACACAAAAAGTCAACCTAATCGCAACATTTACCCATATGGTTGATTTCCATTAGTTGACTGTCATATGAGGTGAGTCTTGATGTCATGATAGAGTTGCTCGTTTGTCATCTGCATAATCTAGGGTCAAATCATGGAAACAGTCTCTTAGCTTGTAAACATAATGTTGTGTACACTGACTCCCCCCAAGCTTGTGGGAGTGCACCAGTGACCAGACAGCCCTTTACTAGTTAATTGTCATTTGACTGTGGAGAGATATTTGAATTTTAATTGACATAAACGACATTTAGAATTTCTGTTATGACAGTAAGAATTTTAAAGGTGCTTTAAACATTTTATATTAAAAATGTTTTTTAAAATTCAAACTAGCAAGTAGCAACTGATATCCATGATTGATAGTATTCAATTTAAGGCTTTTTGGATGGATGCTAATGGAAAACAAATATGTTAAGGATCTTAATATTTGGAGATAATATGGTATATAAAAATTTGTAAAGATAAATGCACTATTTTCATATTTTGAAAGTATAGATATGTAAAAGCCCTTGAAATATAAAAAGGGAACAAAAGATCATTTTCTGTAATGCTAGAACGGAAAATAAAGATTAAAAAATCGAAAAAGATGACATGAAAGATGAAAATCAATGGTACAACAAAATAAAAGAACAATCATTACAGAACCTGAATATGGGTAACTATATCAGCTACAGAAACCCTTGACCCTTCCTCATGCTTTCTCACAATCCACTGATAAAGCTTCTCCTGCATAACATATAATAAAGAAGAACATTATTAGATAAGAAAATTCACATTTTGACAGTTTCAAAAGACTTCAAATAGAGACGGCAAAATCAACATCAGTAAAAAAAATCTGGAACATGGTTCCGGTGTGTATATTCAGCACCATGACTATCTTCTGGCGGATTATTGGCTAGAAACTGGTGTCTAAAGATGATCGTGAATGATCCATCGTGAATGATCCACCATCAGCAAAAAAATTATGACATATCATAATAAGAAAGATGAATTTACACGAAAATTATTAATCAATCAATAACTCCCTTGAGTATACTCAAATTATAATTAAATAACTGAATTAAGACTAATTATTTAAGAAAAACATAATTGTGCTAAAAAAACATGATCATATTCTAGAACTTATCCAATTTCATTCCCAGCCTTATCACTTTGGCTACTTGAATCTCATCATCAAATCTGACTGATGCACCGGGATGCAACACTTGACTTGAAAACTCCATAACCTGGTGCTAAATTTTAATTCTTGGACTTCTAACAACTGAGTTAAGGAAATCAGCCAATACAACAATATGACAATTTTGCTCACCAGTGTCCTCTGTCCCCATAATTACCTTGACCTTCAGACATACTGATCAAGAGAGCATCTTTTTTAGAGTTCAAAATAGTTCATTGCAATATGTAACGTTGCAGACTTGGTTTTCTCATCACCGATTTGCAGCAACTTTTCATGACTTCTCACCATCCCAAAAAGAGTTGTTCTTCAGTCTTACCCTACTTTAGCTCTTTAATGGATCTCATTCATGATAAAATTTACCACATGTCATATCTTTTGTCAGTTTGGTTCATGGTTTTGTCAATAGCAACTGGTTCATGAATTTACAGCAGCTATAATGGAGAGCAGATACACTCTAATTTAGTTAGTATTGCTATTAATAGCTCAAACTCAGGTTTGATAGTGGGCAGTGTCATGGGTGTCATGCAGTCTGGCTGGATTGCACCTTGATAATCAACAATGTCGAGCAAGGTTATGCAACAGGTAGGCAAGAAATAGGAACGATAAAGATGGTACTTGCTGATTTCCAACATAACAGAGAGCACAACTGGTTATAAAAATGAAGTTATACGAGAGGGAGAGGGTTCTGTTACGATTCTGTCTTGTTAAGAGAGAAAGAATTAGAAAGTTAACAAAATCATGCAGCTAGGAACAAGAGGTCTAACTCCTACTACAGATCTTAAAAACCAAGCACCTGAACAAAATTTTGCAAAATCCTAAGCTTTAAACGTCACATACCCATTTTCAGTGATTAAACAGCCAATTAATGATATCCACTTTAGTTAATTTTGAATTAGAAAGGAACCTCAACCAGATAATGGTAACTATGCTGGAATATCCAATTAAAATTTCTAATTGATCTACATCTTCAACAACCCAAAACAGGCAAGAATATATCCATGTAGCCAAACCCAAGTACATTAAAAAGAAAAAGCCGACTTGACTACAACAGAAAAAAAATCATAATCAAAGTCTGACTGGATGTATTCAAAAGGTCATGGTTAGCATCTAAACAAACATTACATATACCTCAAGACCAAAATGGTACATGTACTGCTTGAATGTTACTACTGCATTATTTTCATCTATGTTCAAAGCCCATCGATAACAATAAAACGTGCACAATAATTTTACCCCTTTCCTTCACCCTCAAAATCAAGATGGCAAATGTGCAGGTGCTACAATTTTCGGACGGATGGTCATCACCAATCATATTCACCACTGAGATTGCAACAACACATAACACAAGCTGATAATCGATATATTACAAACATACAACAAAACTGAATTGATAAAGGCTGAAAAAACTACGTTCATATGCACGGCCAAATGAAACATCTAATTTGTTCTGAACATATTGACTATGAAATCATATGCATAAAAGAAAACATTTTTTTTTTTTCCACTCTAGCATGTGATTCTACCTAAACTAAATGTCGAATTCCAGAACAAAAGAAGAATCAAAAGGCATCAACCGACGAAACAATGGATAAAAGCGATAAGGGGCGAAGGGAGGGGACGTGGGACAAGGAAATCAGTGGGACGGTGAGACGGGAGCTAACCATAGCGTGGCGCTCGCCGGCTTGGAAGGAGATCTTCTGCTGGTTCATGGCCTGCGTGTAGAGCTGCGAGAGCGAGTTAGCGGCGCTGCAGAAGGTGGAGTACAGCGTCCGATCCACCTCGTCGAGCCGCATCGCCTCCGTTTTCCGCTTCCTCGCCATCGATTCCAGAGAGATCGATCGAAGATGAAACCCTAGGACGCCACAAAAGACGACGCAAATAAGGAAAGAAGGAAACCGCTCTCCACCCTTTACCGCCTCTCTCTCCCTCTCTCCCTCTCTCTCATTATATATATCTCTCTCCCCCTCGTCTCCTTAAAACGGAATCCAAATGCCGCTTCACAGCGACCCACACGCCAAAGAAGAATAAAACGCGAGAGAGCTCAAATCGGCATCTGCATTGGGCTTCATTCGCGCCTTCAAACAAAGCCCGGTCCACTCGCTCACTTCCCCGATCCGATTACCGCCCTCCCTCCGCTCGCAACAGTGTTCGCTGCGTAAGGGGCAGTACTCGGAAGTATCACCAGTCTCACCAATGTTATCGTCTCCCCACCTCTTCTTCATCCCCCTCCACATCTTTCTTCTGCTGCTGCAGCTATCGTGCCCTCGCTTCTCGCTTTCTAGCTGCCTCATTCATGGGAGACTTTCTACTGTAGCCTCCAACAAGACGAATACTTCCACCGATCGTTGATCGGAGTTGCGGAGCAAATGATCCTAAAGCTTTCGTTCATATAAAATTACGGGCAATCAAATGATAGAGAAAAGGCTAAGGCTAACACTGTGCTTGCAACTTCTCCAATGTAACGTTGTATCAAATGCAGTTGCTCTTCAAAGACATGATAGCTCTCTGTGTGCATTACAAAAATATAAATGATATTAAAAAAAGAGCGAATTTTTGAAAAAAAATTGTATTTTTAGATATTTTCAACAATATTTATAATATAACATAATATTTTTTGTTTTCAGTAATATTTCTAAAATACTATAATAACATTGTAATATAGCATTTTTTTAATAATATTATAATGAAAATATTTTTAAATATTGATTATTAATTTAGATTAAAGCATCTTTCGTCACCTGATTATGGAGTTAATTGGGCGTCATTTAATCGTCGGGACTGACGTTAAGAATCCGATGCGTATGACTCGGTGGTGCATATGACTCACAGGAGCCGTCGGATCTGTTGGCTAACCCATCCACGATCGAGTATAACGGTTCCCTAACGTGAACCGCGGCACACGGGACACCAAGGTTCGCGTCTATTTCTGTCGCCTCTACAGTTTCCAATGTTTGTTAAGGTATCGAGTTGGAGGGAGCCCTAAGCCGGTCCTCGCTGCCTTCTCCGTTTCGGGGACTCACTCCGTCCATCGATTTCTAGGTTTGGCGAATCGATTTGTTTTGTTGCAGAAAAAGAAGAAGGAGAAGAGATCGAAAGCCTGAGAGTCTTTGTTCGATATATTGGAAAGGTTTGGGCGTTGGATTCGATGGAGATCGTGCGAACGAGGAAGAGGCCTCGGCTCGCTTGGGACGTAGCTCCTCCCGAACGACGAGAGGTCCGCTTTGTCCGTCCTAGGGCTATGTATGGTTAAGGGATTGATTCCACAGTGGGGGCAGGTTCTCGAGGGTTAGGGTTTTCTTGTGTTGGATTCTGAATCTCCTATTGGATCTGGCTCTCCGTGGATCTGTGTAGGCCGTTCGGGATGAGGCGGCTCCGCCTAGGAGGGGCGTCTCGCCCCCGTGGAGGGAGGATGACCGAGAAGGGCATTACGTGTTCGATCTTGGAGAGAATCTCACCCCTCGCTGTAAGTGTTTCGCCCATTCTTATTGCGAAAATATATGTTCGGATTGGTGAATTCGGTTGTTTTCAAGAGGAATATATTATTTTTTGTCCCATCGAGATCAATTATCTTGTGTTGAAATATATAAATCATCTTTGATTATTTGAGTGCCGTCAACAACTCGATAAATAATGTCAACTAAACATGCTAGTCTAGTTTAGTGCTTTAAATCATTTGATCAGGCGTAAGTCTGCGTGGTTGTAGGCAATTAATACTTGTAAAGTAAATCGTGTTTTTAAGTGAAGGTAGATTTGAGCTATGGAACTGAAATAGAATACTAGAAATACAAACGTTCTATGTTTTTTGGAGCAGTCTTTGGTGATTTTACTAGTTGATTAGTGTGAAAGGTATGCACTTCTTGCTGCTTTAATGATTATGCCAAACTTTACTTATGGCATGGTTGTATTAGCCATGCAAATAGGACAAACGAGGCCTTTTTTTTGGAACACCAGTGAAGAGAGTTGACTTTGTTCGCTCAATTATTGGATACAGCCTGATACATCTAAGAACTCTTAATATTTGTGCACATTAGTAATTTGGTTACTTATGTCGAACTATTTTTATGGTATATGATTGCTTGCTATCGAGCTAGGGCATCATGGTTTGTTGTTGTCATTGTTGTTGTTTTTGCTGTTATCATTGTAATTTGGTGTGCACTTGCTCTCAAAGGAAATGATGGAAAATAAGAGATATGGCCAACATAATTATCTGTAAACCAATAAAGTTTTTGCTCAGCTTTAACATAGCATGCTTTAGAATTGGATCATCTGTCTCTTTCTGATATATTTAGTGCCAGACATCATGTCCATGTGTTTGTGTGCAATTGACTCAATCAAGATCGTGGTTTGTGAATGTCATGTTTTGTTGACACTGATGAGAGTCTAGTTGATCGTGGTTCTTCTGGTGGTGATGCAAAGACAATATTAAAAGTAAAAAAATAGAAAAATAAGGTGGAAGTTATAGTCAAAGGCTTGGTTATGAAAATTTTACTATTTACTACACTGGGATCTTTCTATATTTGTATTGTAGGTAAATAAGGGGATTGGATTTGGACTGGGTCATTCTGTCACCCAGTGTAGTAATTGGACAAGCGGTTAGGATCACTAATTGGGTTAGCATGTCAGAAAATCAAACTATGTTTGGCTTTATCTAATTTTGGTACAAATGGGTTCAGTCCATAGATGGGTCAATGTTTTGTAGATCCTTTAAAGAACAATTGCTTGGCATAATAATCTCCTTAAAAATTCATCAAACTTTCTGATTTATCATCAAGATCCCGCCCCTGAATGTTTGTTGATGCAAAAGAATTTGCTCGAATTTGCTATCTTCTTCTAATCTTTTTGCTCTAATGCCTTAACTAGTCCATAGAATATCTGCCTTTCAGAATCTGATAAGTGTTTGAATGATCCTAAAAGCCTCTTGTCGTCTTATTCTGTTTTTACTTATTCAATTCTATTTTCCTTTATCCATGCAGATAAGATACTTAGCAAGATGGGTGAAGGTAAAACTTTGTTTACTTAAGTATGTTGTGACTTTCTTTTTTTCTAGTCATCATACTTTAAAATTTGCAGGTACTTTTGGTCGTGTCTTGGAATGTTGGGATCGTGAGGCGCATGAATACGTGGCAGTCAAAGTGGTTAGGAGCATAAGCAAGTACAGAAGTGCTGCAATGATTGAAATAGATGTCCTTAATCTTCTAGCTAAACATGATAAAGATGGATCACGGTATCTGTCAGGCCTCAGAGTTGCCTATAAATAGTACAAAATTCAAGTTTCTTACCACTTTTTTTTTGTGATTTGCAGTTGTGTACAGATTCGAAGATGGTTTGACTACCGAAATCACATATGCATCGTAAGTTAACCTTTGGTTATCATTGATCTTGTTTCTTGTGGAATTTAAAAGCATTACTGTTCAATACTGCCCACTGCTTTTGCTTTTCAGTTGTGAAACACCTGCAGATTATGTTTAGTTTGTCACGTGATGGATATTTACTAGTTTGTAAGTAGCCATATTGTTGACATTTGAGGAAAGGTTTTAGAGATGTCACATTGTTGGAAATGGTAAACTCTGGTCTGTGACTTCTTTGTGATATATTTTTCTGTTGAACATCAAAGCGCTGTATAACTTTTGGTAATCCTAAATTAGCTTCAGGAAAGTGGACTGAAAAAAGTTGAAATCTTTTTTATAATTTTGTGGTTGCAAACACTTGGTATGTTATTATATCTGTATGGTCCTGCAAAACTAAATTTAAATGAACTTACCTTATTTTATCAGGTGTTTGAGAAGCTTGGCCCAAGCTTGTATGATTTTTTAAAGAGAAATAAATACTGCCCATTCCCTGTGGAACTTGTGCGGGAGTTTGGACGTCAGCTGTTGGAATCTGTAGCATGTGTGTTGATTATACTTGGGTTCTTTTCGTTTATGTTATTCAAATCTTCTGTTGAACCACTCTTAAGAATCTACTTTTGCCATCTTTTCACTGTGATTCGATCGCATGATCTTTAATCTTTCTTTTCTTTTTCTTCAACATAGATATGCATGATTTACGCCTTATTCACACTGATCTGAAGCCAGAAAACATTCTTCTTGTATCTTCTGAATATGTAAAGGTTCCAAGCAACAAGGTATTTTGTATAATGCATTTTATAGGTCATGCAATATTTTGTCATTAGGTAATGTACTTGGCATTCATTTTAAATGAATTCTTGGGCTGGTACAGAAGAATGCACAAGACGAGATGTACTTCAGGTGCTTGCCAAAGTCTAGTTCTATAAAGCTGATTGATTTTGGTAGTGCTGCCTTTGAGAACCAGGATCATAGCTCAATTGTTTCAACGAGGCATTACAGGGCACCTGAAATTATTTTAGGTAAATTGGTTTATGAGTTAAGTATTGGATTCACTCTCTTGTCTGAGATGCAGGATATCCAATCGGACTAAGGTAGTAAGGATTTTGAGTTGTGGTTGTAGCTTTTTTGATACCTTTGAGACTGAAGCTGTTGCAAGCCTGTAAATGCAAGCATTTACTTGATTTTTTTCCTGGACCAGGAATTTTCTTTGAAGGCAATAGTTAATCACTTGAAGTTGTTTCTTTGCATGTTGGGAAACCTAGGTCACTCTGAATTAGTTAAAAGGCCTATTGTTTTAATGTTAATAAATCTAGAAACAATAGAATCAAATTTAATGTAAAGGCCTATTGTTTTAAAACTTCAAGTGATTTAACTAGAAACAATATAATCAAATTTACTAATAAAGCTAATAAAGTTAATAACTTTATTAACTAATAAAGCTCGTTCCTTGCATGTAATGTGTTTTGCATAATTTTTAACAGAACACTTTACTAGAACCAATAAAGCAATTGTACCACAGTAAAATTTTAAAATTTGATGTGATAAGTTGTTAACTTTATTAGCTTTACTATTATTTTTTTATTATATTCTGTCTAGTTAAATCACTTGAAGTTTTAATGTACTGTTTTAGTAAAGTGTTTTGCTTGATTTTTTTAAGTAGGCCAAAGGTTCATCATCTTTATTAGTAATATACTTCTCTTGTTTGATATGAGTTTCATTATAATAAAATTTCTCGGCATATGGCTCACTGTATGCCTCCACTTTCCTTTTATGTTATAGAAATTGCTTCAGATATAATACCTTGTGGTTGAAGTTCAATTGTAAGTCCAGATGTATATCTCTGACTTAGTGCATTCACGCCATTTTTATGTTTGGAACATCTCATATTAAAATATTGATTTGAAATTCTGAATAGGTTTAGGGTGGAATTATCCCTGTGATGTATGGAGCGTTGGATGCATACTTGTTGAGCTTTGTTCGGTCAGTAGTCTGTAACCTCTGACAATTTTCAAAGTACCGTTTTCGACAACCCTAGTTTGGGGATTAACTTATAGCTTGTTTCAGGGAGAAGCGTTGTTTCAGACACATGAAAATTTGGAGCATTTAGCCATGATGGAGAGAGTTTTGGGACCATTACCAGAACGCATGATAAGAAAAGCCAGGTAGTGTTTTAAATGTGCTAAGTGTAATACGTCATGCTGAAGTTTTATGCAGCCACCAGAAGGGAGTTTTGGAGTTTTGATTTGTGACCAATGTGCACTTACATTGCTTGGACTAGAATACTTTACATTTACAAAGTCATCATTCTAGCTTCCATTTATAATTTTTTTGGCAGGAATATCTATTTCATAAATTCAAGCATCTTATATTATTTGCACATACATTCTCGAAAATGTGCAGTGAAATTGATAATTAGTATCTCATGCATTATGATTTGCAACATTTGTTATGACTTTTTTATACAAATTCATATATCTTGGTTGTTTAAAGGGTTTTTTTTTCATATGCTAATCTTGGACTTGTTGCTGTATTCATAACTTCTGCAACTGCATCAATTCTTAAAGGATGAGGTTTTGTCACTATAGTTACTGCATCATGTCAATGCCCTGAGATATAAGACAATATGTCAAGTTAACTTCATGGTACTTTTCCTTCTTTGGGAGATTTTTAGGGTAGAACAATTTCTAGTAGTAGTGCAGAGGCAAAAGTTCTTTACTAATCATAAATGAACAATGAATGCCTTCATGATATGATAGCTAGAAATCAATGCCAAGATCTTTGTGGCTGTATCACAGTTCATATAAGCAGTGAGTTGTAAGTTATATAGCATCATTTCTGAATTAAAAATCATCTGGTTGTAATATTCATCCAAAACTTACCAAATATGTTTTTTCTTCACTGTCTGTTTCCAGGTTCGCTGCATGTTTGAATTGTTTGAAATGCAGTATGCTTGTCTTCTATGCTGTTTCATTTACTTTATTTCTTATTATTTTGGTTCATGCTCCTTGTTCCTGATGCATGCAGTTCCTCGGCTTCAAAATACTTCAGGCGAGGTTCACGGTTAAATTGGCCTGAAGGTGCTGTTTCCAGAGAGAGCATTAGGGCTGTGAGAAAGCTTGACCGGCTTAAGGTTGAATTGATATGTTTTTTATGATTGGCATGCTAACTTGATGTCTGAAGGTCTATACAATTTGCATATGCACTAATAAGATGATTGATCAATATGAGGTTGCTAGTGAATCACATTGTGATTATAGATTAATCATAGAAGTTTTGTTTCCTTTCACAGATAAGAGGATTTTGAAGGTTCAATATGAAATTTAAATTGGCATAGATACTTTAATATGGAAAAAATGTTTTATTAGGCGATATTAACATCAAAGACCAAATAGAATTATCCTTTAGTGAGTTATTTAGTGCTGAACAATTTTTTCATAACCCTATTCAGTGAGTTATTTATGACTGTAAGCTATATAAATACCACCGGAACAGAGGAATCAATTTTTGTGGACTATATCCATTCTGCTGGTTTAGTTATTCATGGAGTGTGTTTACATTTATTGTTTTGCTCAATGGGGTTGGATGTCAATGAAGCAAAATACATTAAAACATTATTTAGCTGTACAGCAGTGGATTGGTTCACTGGTCGGTGGTGACATCTCTTGCTCTTTTTCAGGATATGATCTCTAGTCATGTGGATTATTCCAGAGCTTCGTTAAATGATTTGTTGTATGGGCTTTTGAAATTTGAACCATCGGAGCGATTAACAGCTCGTGAAGCCCTCAACCATCCATTCTTTGAAAACCCTACGTGAGCAATAGTTGAAGGGTGAGAGAAGGCTAGTAATTTGATGATCCGTGATTGGTTTTACTGGCTTCCAAGAAGAAATCCAATCTGAAACTGCAAAACCTCCAGCAACATCTGTATCATATCTTATCTTTAAGCTCATTTTCCTGCCACTGTAATGCCAATTGATGCCTTGTTGATGGTATCTTTTGTAATTGATGCCTTCTTTGGTTTGATTGGCTTGTGCCAAATAGACTGTAGATTAATCTACAGTCTGTTGTGGTAGGTTGATGTTCAAGCTATGCTATTGGCCCCATTTTCCCCTTCATTGTTTGCCGTGGCATGATTCTTCTGCTGAAACAGATGCGCATAGTTTGAAGTTTTGTATTTAGTCAATATTTTAGGTCAGATGGGCATTGAATTTGACCAATATTATGTAGTTACCAAAATTGCTTACGGCTGTCTGCTTTTCTTCTGATGTGCTATTAGGTCCAGTTCATCGGTTCTTATCGCCTTTGAAGCTGTCATCCTCATGCTAAGAGTAAGTGTGTATGGTTTAAATTAGGGTTCATTGGAACATTACAAATATTGTCATTCTGGGATGGTTATCATGTACTTAATCATTAACTGGAACAATCTGTTGTAATGATCCTTGAATGTTAGAAACAGTGGTCTTTGTTCAGTTTCATTACTATTTACCCACTAGTCAAACTTCCCAGGTGTGTGAATACAGTTGAAATTTATCCATTTCTTCTTCCAGAGTTGATATCTTTACTTTTGTCACCTCATACTGTTGTTTCACAGGTCGCCAATTGCAAACAATTGCAATTGCATCACTCAGATTAAGTTTGCAAACAGCTCGACCTGGAAATTACGATCGACTCGTGTAGATGTTGAACCAAGCACAACAAAGATATCGTTCTACGTGTTCCTTGATGAGCCAAGCCAGACACAAGTCATCCTAATATAGTACGGTAAGAATCCGATCTTACCTTTGTCTTTGCATGAAACTTTTAAGATTGCATGAAATGTAAATTGTCAGCCATTCTCCATCACTATCCAATCAAATATAGAATGATCTAACAACATTCAAGATCGCCAGGAGATTTGATCTAATAACTCTTTTGGCTATCTAGTCTTATTTTAGAACATAAATCTCGATAGGCTTGCCGAAACCAACGTGACATGTTGCTCTGTCTTCGTCATAGGATTGTTTGTGATGGAATGTAAAGACCTTTCTTTTGATTCGGCCACTCGTATCTTAACAAAAATTAGGACATTCTTTTTGATGTGTGATTCCACTAGTGGAAACAGCCATTAATAGACTTTATTGATGAAATGGACCTGTCTGTCTCCCTTACATGACTTGCCTGTGAAGCATTCTATCAAGACCTCAGAAGAGCCAAGCCGTGCCAACCCTAATCAATGGCAGGCAATTCTACATTTGAGAGCATGGTAGGCACAATTCGTGGAAGGTGTGGAGTTTGAGTCAAAGATGTAACATTACGAGCCTTGCCAATGTAAGAAGAACTCCACCCTTTTCTGCTACTTTTCTAACAACATATCTAATAACCCCCTCTCGCCCTCCCTATGTATGTATGTTTAATCTATCCGATTTAATTTAAATATTAATTAATTAATTAATTAATTAATTAATTTCTAACTGCCGCAGACTCAGCACCTTTAAAGCGTGTCTTCCTTGTAGCCTCCACCAGCTTTTCCCTGCTACCTTTGCATCCTGCCTCGCGTCCTCTACATATCCTCTACCAGTGCTCCTCCTCTCTGCCTCCCTCACCTCTCTGAAGAAGACAAAGAAGAAGAAGAAGAAGAAGAAGAAGAGAGAGAGATGGGAAAGAAAGGCCTTCGGAAATCTATCCGAGTTTGTCTCTCCAAGCTCAAGAAAGTACCGTCTCATCTACACATACCCAATTCCCCGCATCCGGCCGCCGCCACTGCTGCCACCAGTTGGCTGTTATCGGCGTGCAAGTATCCCAAGACCCCTTCTTTCGCCGTCGACCGCGGACGCGCCGACGACGACGGACACGACCCTGCCGCCACGCTCTCCGACGTCGACCGCTTCCTCTGCGAGAACTTCCGCTCCCTCTACTTGCGCGAGGACGAACCCGCCAACCTCTCCGAAGCGACCCCCCGGGGGGACGAAGACGAGCGCCCGCCACCCGCAGCGTTCTGCTCGTCCGAGCGCTTCTTCGTGTCCTCCGGCGCGTCCAACTCTCTCCACCGTGGGGCCCGGCGGAACAACGCCTCGTCTTCGTGGTCGTCACCGTCGCCGTCGCCGTCGAGCTCTTCTCGGACGAACGAGGCTGGGGCGGAGGCACGAGGAGACGGGGTCGCGGTGGTGACGTTCTCCAAGGACCCCTACGACGACTTCCGGCGGTCCATGCAGGGCATGGTGGACGCGCGGCACGTGGAGCCGAACCAGCCTTTGGACTGGGACTTCATGAAGGAGCTCCTCTTCTGCTACCTTGAGCTCAACGACCGGAAAGTCCATAAGCACATCTTGAGGGCCTTCACCGATCTCACCGTCAGCTTCCGCCGCCGGGCTGCGGCAGAAAGGCGGAGAGCACCGGCTGGTAACAAGGGGAGGAGGAGGAGGAGGAGATCAGCCCAGAAGGCCGGAGACGTAAGAGATGCGGCGCCGCGACATCTTCTGGTAACCGACTGACGTGTATTGAATTTGGCAGATGCAGTGGGGAGGGTGGCTCCACCATATGCGGAGCCGCAGAAGAGGAAGAAGATGCCATGATTTCCGGCGGTCCAAGCGGTGTCTGTGTAACGCCTATCTACTGTACGACTTTGGTAGTCTCAACCGTCAACCAATGAAACTGATAACAAGGCATTTAATCTTGCTTTGATGGAAGAAATCTGAGGAGGCTGCTGGGAATCCTAAGCTTGTTCTTGTTCTCCCAATAATGTGAATGTTGCACCCTCATCAGAAATAACATGGATAGAAAACTCAGATCTGTTCATGATATCATCAATCTCATATATATATATATACAAAAAAGAAAGCTTAAGTAAAGCATTTAATAAGTAAATATTGTCTTTAGATGTCATAAATGTAATACAACTTTTTATTATATTAGAAAGCTGAAATGTCTAATAAATAGTGACACGTTTAATCCCGATTAACAAAAATAACAACATCAGAAGATTATAGTATTTGACTACTGCTGGAGAACAAAACCAAGTCAACAGTTGATGTGCTGAGGAGACGCGCCATCACATGGCCGACATAAAGCAGTCACAGATATCTATCTTTACCGGATTGAATTAACTATCACCAACATGAACAACTTGACGGGAGCAATCATGCAAACGTAGGGTTCTACACACGCATTGCTGTGGAACCCTATAATTCAGGTTTATATGCAACAGATGAGGGAGATGGAGAGACTTACGCAACCCCAACCCCGTCCACATGAAATCTCAAAGTTATACCTAAAAATGAGGAGGAGCACTTGAATCTGTGTGGTACAGAATCACATTATTTGCAAAGGGAAAATTTACTACTTCCAATCCTAACGCAGTACATCACTTCTAATTAGGTACACATAAAACAATAAAGCAGCCAATGGATGCTCCGCAATCACTTTCCATGTCTCATACAAAGGCAGTCAGGTAGATTGAAGCAGAGATGATCCTACAGGACAAGAAAACAAAGCGTCAGAAACCTGGAACAAGTTGTGCAGAGTAATAGCTGATATAGAACCAACATTGTCAACCAAACTAAATGCCTTTGTTCATCAAAACACTTTCCTAGGTGAGTGATAGCGAGCTCCATAAACGTTCTCAAGTGAGGCTTGAGAACATGTGTTATAACTAGAAGATCGTAATCACATTTTCAATAACCATATTCATGAGATTTCATCATTTCAACCTAATCAGGCTTGAAAACAGAAGCCATCTCTTTGATTGCATCAACAAAACGAGGAGACTCTCAACAGTGTGCCATCACCAATGGTAATGTCAAAACAACTTCACAGTATTCGATACCCATGAAGGGAAAGTGACCGAAGTGGCACCTAAATATAATTACTTGGTTGGAAATTGTAGCATAAGGTTCACTTAATCGGTGAACCAGGGAAACACAATTAAGGAGATCAATATGTCTTCTGTGTATATACTATGAAAATAACACACGGGAACTCATGCTCCTAGCTCATGTGCCCTGTCAAACATTGATCAATCTGCAGATGTTGGCCATTAATTACAAACCTTGTGATCCATTTGAGGAAACTAATGCCACATTGTCATCGACTTAAAATGAGCATCTTCATATCTGCATGGAAACCCATTATATGTTCTATTTTCAGGCTGTAGATGCCATATGCAAACTACAACCACACATCACAAGTTCACATCAGCTTTTCAGTCCACTATAGTACATCGGTTCAAAGCCAAAGTCTTCAAATTTTGGACGTCTGACACTCAAGTCTGATCACAATCCGTCAGTTTCATCATATACAAATTCTACAAGGAACGATGATCTTACTCACTATGACATTGACAGCATTCAAACTTTCTCCCTGATTAAATAAATGATACATATGGTGTCCTATGGCAGAGCCCCAAGCAATTTCTGGTGCAATATCAAGAAAATAAATTCACAATCATTGCTAGAAACTTAATAAAGCTTCCTATAGTTCCAGATGAGACCATGTAGGCTATCTAGGTTGCCTTCATAGATCAAAAGTTCTTCCGAGTTCCAAAGACAACAACCACAATGTTCCAGTTATTTGGCATTAACTATATGTGTTTTCCAACAAACAGATCCAGCTTAGGGCAATATCATCAGTCAAAGTGGGAGTGACATAGCCCTCTAATAAAGTCCTTATAGATCCATACTTCTAAGATCTTATAAAGGCTTATGTTGGTTGTCAATTGCCTAATACAAGTCTCCTCCATTTTTCAAAGTATGTGACCAACAATAAAAAATTTAACAATAAGAACATACAAGCGATAATTTAGGACATGATCAAACATACTAGTTAGTTGAATTCATTGAAACATAACTAGCATGGACCAATTCCGATGCCTCAGAAAGTTCCCAAGTCCTCTATCTTGATATAGTATAGGAGCCACTGACCAAATAGTATGAATATGCATAAGGAATTCTTCAGAGGTCAAGATCAAGTTCAAAAAGTCCAATGCAGCTCAAGAACTTCTACAGACCAGCATTTCTGCAGAGAGTCAAACACTCTTGCTCATTTCTAGGGCAAAAATCATCTATGTCCACTTGGGACTCATATCCATTTGGAATATAACTTGCATTCTTTCACTGACAAACAAAAATGGAAACAGAACAACTTAAAGACCCAGATCCAGAAATATCAAATCTATAATATAAAAGTATTTCACTGACAGATAAATTCACCAACAACATCCTAAAAGCTTTCCAAAAATGACATACGCTTAAACAATGCTACTACGTGTCTCTCTTAATGCTGCCACCGACAACACTAAACCTAAATTGATTAACAGCATAACATAGACGACAACCTGATAACAGTAATGAACATATGAAACTTCAATATATCATCTTCAAAACAACAATTTTCCTTATCATGTTTGTGCTAAATGCATTCTTCGAAACTTCATAGATATTTGATGTCCCAGATCAAATGGAAGTTCACTATAATTTTCCTTTCAGTTAGGAGTGTAGATTAAAAGGCATGTAAGCACTAACATAAACTAAGATGTTAGAAACCGATACATAAGTAAGCCAAACAGTAGCAAAAATTCAAGGCAACTTGTATGTCACTCAATATTTCAGATATGCAGCACAAATGGCTTCATTCAATCATTTTATTATATAGACGATAAGAAAATGCTAAACTAAACAATCCAACATAAAAAAAAACCAACCAAGAAAGGAAACTAATTCCACATTAGTGATGCTTACCCTACCCGCTCAAGTTCTCAGCAGAACCACCGTCATCACCATCGTTGTTGTCCTCATCCCTATCTTCCAAGTCTTCATCATCATCTTCCTCCACTTGCTCCTCTCTTAATTTTGCAATCTCCTCTTGCACCCTTTCCAAAATCTGCCTTTTCTGCACCTCCAAATCCCTTTGGAACTCCTTCCTCATCCTTTCTAACTCTGCCATCTGCTGTCTCTTATGGTTCTCCATCTTCTCATAAACCTCTCCAAACTTCTGAATCGACTCCGCAAGCATCTTAAAAGAAGAGTCTGAGCAAATGTTCTCCCTCTGTGGTGGAAGCCCATCAGAGTCATTCTCCTCATCACCATCATCCTCGGTTCCGCTGTCTCCCGGACTGTCCTTCATCTCATTATTCCCACTGTAGCCATTCCTGTAAACGCTGGAACTAGCAAAGACATACTCTCCCGCATCAACACCGCAGGGCAACCTCGGCGGTGGTGGTGGCGGTGGCTGCTGCCGTGCTGTCAGCGGTGGTGGGGATGGCGATGACATCAAGGCATCCATCTTCTTGAAAAAAACCCACTTGCTTCCAGCATTCCCGTGCGCCATGATGCTCGCCTTCTCTTTCTTGTACTTCTTCTTCAGGGTATCGACCCGGTTGCGGCACTGAGCGTCGGATCGAACCACCTTGGAAGCCTGCGACACCTTCTTGGCGACCTCATTCCACTCGTCCGATCGGAGACTCTTCCTTCCATTCTGGAGGTAGCGATCGCCCCAAGCATCCAGGAGCACAAAGGTCGAGTCTTCCGACCAATCCGGCGGGGAGGTCCGGGCGAGAGGCTTGGGGGGTGCCGCGGCACGCAGGCGCGGGGCGAATTCGAACCCCAGGGCGAGTTTGTCGATCCTTCTCCGCTTCCCACGGCTCTCCGACGAGGAGTCATCGTCATCGTCATCGTCGCCGTAGTTCCGGGTGCGGCGATGGCCGTCGCCATCGTCGTCCTCATCGTCATCTACGGGCTGATCCATGTAGTTCTGCTCCTCCTCCTCGGCCTCCTCTTCTTCGTCGTCGTCGGTGGCGTCGTCATAACCACGGCCAAAGTGGGGAGGGGGAGGGGGGTTACGGAAGCGTGTCTTGGGGCGAGGAGCGGAGGAAGAAGAGGGGAAATAGTGGCGAGGCTTCGGGGGGTGGAGATTGGGTGGGTACCGGGCGTCGTCCTCGGAATCATCCATCGAAGGAGGTAAAAGGAGCAAGGTAGAAGAAGAATTAGGAACCCTAGGCGTTCAATCGAGAGAAGCTTGTCGCCCTTTTCAGGAACCCTAATTTCTTTGGTTGAATCGGGAAGGGGCGGATGAAATCGGTGGGTGGCAGGCCGGGTGGACGTGGACCGCTCGGGGGCTCTTCACGAGGAGGCGACGCGGGATGCGACACCCACTCGCCCACGGGAACTCGCCACGGTCGAGTTCCGGGTCGGGTCGCGTTCGGATCGGGTTCCGGATCCTGTTAACTGCTAAAGAAACGCGAACCTTTTGCCTTCCCGATGTACAAGTCTATTACACGTGATGTCGTCGGGTTCGGATCGGGTTCCGGATCCTATTAAGTAATGCCAACCTTTTTCTCCTAGATGTAGAGGTCTATTACATGTGATGTCGTCGGGTTCGTATCGGGTTGCGGATCCTGTTAAGTAACACCAACCTTTCTTCCCTCGATGTACAAGTCTATTACACATGATGCGGATCGGGTTCGGATTGGATTCCAATTCCTGTTAAGTAACGTTAACCTTTTTCCTCCTCGATGTACAAGTCTGTTTACACGTGACGCGGTTTGCATTACATTCTGTTAGATGGATGGCGGGGATGGCCTGTGTTTTGGCAAGCCATTGGTGTTTCGATGCAAAAAATAATGAGGGCGAATTTTTTAAGAAAAAAAATCTCTAAAATTTAGAATTTTTTAAATAGCATCTTAAATTTAAAATTTTCTTATAGAGTGTTTTCTTTTAAATAATCATTCTGCTCCTGTGTTTTTCTGTACGAGACGATACTGCATAACACCTCTGCGGCTAGTGACAAGCATTGCTACCCTATATTGCCCAACACCTTCGTAGCTAATGATAACGATGAGAGTCAAGGGTTCAACGGAGTTTGCACGAGGATCGTGCAACCTCCTCGCGCCCCTTCCTTGCTTATGCAATCTCCTCATGCCTCCCTATGGGCAAGGAAAGAGAAGATGGCTCACCCTCACGACTAATCGCGACAATAAGAGTCGAGAGACAAGCATGAATCAACAAAATAAGATAATAACACTGGAGACGAAGGCGATTTGTCGACAAAGATGATTAAAGTTGAGAATTTTTTTTTATTTTTAAAAATGATAAGAGTAAAATCATCTTTTCACACGGTTAATGCACTGAAAATTCTGAAACTTAAAAATAGCTTTTTACGAAAATTTGTTCAAATAATATTGTATACATTTGGATAAAAAATAATCCGACCACAGTGGGAGTCGAACCCACGACCTTTTGATCCGAAGTCAAACGCGCTAATCCACTGCGCTATGCAGTCCCGTCGATAGATTGATCCGACAGTTCTCATTATTAAGATGGCTGACATGCCCTGTTTCCACCATAAACATAACATCACTGATGCCAACCTGCAGCAATCTGCCACGTTGAATCATCTTTCACATAACCAAATGGGGAAAGAGTTGCATCAATTTAAGGACGACTCCGAACTGAGACAACTATGAACACGTTTGAAGCTATAGAAGACAGACAAAAATGCATATAGGTACAATTGACGCATAGAAAATGGCCACAACATAAGTTCCCGTTCATTTCATTATTGATGCATATATAGGTACAATTGACTTTTTAATCTTTATGCCTAGCAGGAAATGAACAAAGAGACCCAAGGCAGAAACTAGGAAACTGTTTTATCAATGCATGTTCATCCGAACGGATTTCTGCTATCAGGAGTGAAAGCATTTGGGGTTCCCGATCGGTACCCAGCTCCTTGTGTGCTAAAACCACCAGTTCCTCGATGCCTGCAACCATTTACTTGTATGGTTAAAGCTATTCACAAGAATTATATTACTAATCATGAAGTGTTCATGCTAAAGCTTATGATTATCCATGCTTAATCAGTAATGTTGAAATCCATTTATGGAGCAGGATGTTGATTAAATGGCAAAAGAATTGACATCCAAGATCTGGCACAGAAGCTCAGTAAAAGACCGGTCGCTGCAGTAGGTTTTTGCCTTATGGATCATTTGCAATTTCCTGATCTATGGATATCCTGAGGAGGTTCAAATTGATCGAGGAAGAAATCAAACACAAAACATTAGATCAAGAATCTTACATCACGGGAAGTCCAGGTGGTGGTCGGGGCACAGGACCTCCACCTTGCTCAACCATGTATGGCCCTGAAGATAGAAATTCTCCATCACCACCAACAAATCAATAGACATTTGAAATAAAAAGCCAGAATATGGAAATTAAAGGATCATAATATTACGATGCAGAGCTAGCATAGAAATTTGTTGCGGGGGCAACCACTGTTGCATGGGTAAGTTGGATGTGCTGTGCCAAATGGTTGAGTGACCATCCATGTAAGGTAATGCTCCGCGTAGAGATGCCAAATTTGGGAACTACATAATGAAGAAAAGAGATGATAACACAACCAAAACAACATAGACAGCCACAGGTTTTGGTTCATAGTTTGAAAAAAAGATTGCCAACGACGTCACCTAATACAATGTAATTCTTTATATATAAACTTGGACCATCCATCACACAAGTTGGCTATAGGACAACCTATATTATTATGCTTAGAAATTAAAGAAGTTCCCAGATCATCCACCAGATGTCTATACCTGGGGCCTGAATGAAATGCTTGACATATAGGTGATGGTATATTCAGAAGAGAATACACTGTTGGAAGAATACAAACTCATCGATTTGATGATAATGCATAAAAGTTGACAAGTCTGTGCTTGCAAAATTCAACTCAAGTAACAGGTGCAAAATCACCAAAAATAAATAAATAAAAGCTGTATTTACTCAAATTGTGAAATTAAACATATATGGTGGTCATTAAAGGTGCCATGACTATTTCTCATAACAAAATAATTATTGCCACATGTACTTCCAGTGACAGCATCATTGCCACTTGCATAAGAAACAGCTCATCCAAGACCAGTAATGTAAATAAGAGGAGACAGGCACATCAACAGAATAGAATATAACACAAATTATCTTAGAAGATGTCAGTAACAACTAAAGAATATTCCTAATTTAGAAATAGTGTACAACAAGAGTCAAACCGATACGTATGCAAATTAGCTGGAACTGCAACGCAGGCAAGGCCTAGTTCAAGTTATACCTTCAGGTTAGTTCTAATAAATAAGCCTTGTTAAGTCAAAATTTCCAGTTTCTCTGTTACTTATGCAGCTTTTTCATAATTAACTTAGAGGCTGTTCAAGAATATATCAAGTGTATAACAGAGAAAGATGGCCACGTGACCCTTATCTGTTTCTTCCTAACCTGACCGTATCCTCCAGTTACAAATTAAAAATAAATCTCTAATTTCAGTTTATAAGAGGGTTGGTTGGACCGTTGGAATAAATAGGAGGAGAACACCGAACAACTTATCCTTTTCCCGTTATTGTTTTTTCCAGGAATTTATATCTAGTAAACTAAAATAATTACCATCTTCATCTTAAGAGTCTATTTCACTAAACAGAAGAAGACAAACAAGTGTTCTCCAATATGTGGTTTTCTCAGTTGGCAGGCCATATCATCCTCTTTTTGTTGCTTTCCACCTCAATTTCTCTCCCTCTACTCTAATTTGTCCACCCTTCAACTATTTAATTTCGTCCAGAAGTTGGAATCATTATGTACAGCCAAGATCAGCCCCTAAACTAAGCAGGTTCGGTTTGTCCTCAATGTTAATGATTGTGACAGCAAGATTTTTTGCTTAATTGGCATCAATATTAGATTATGAGGCAGATATTCAATCTACCTAGGTGACAAGATCAAAACTATTAAAGTGTCCATGTAGATGTTGACCATTAAACCCAATGAAATGTGGCCTATAATGCTAATGTTGAATAACCCCAGGAGATTAATCGGTTAAAGAAAGATCCAGAACAGGTGCAAGAATTAATGTCCTGCTCAAGATTTTCTTGTATATGTTTCCTCAAAAACAATTGTCTAAACTACAGAAACTTTTAAACAGGAACTCGACATACTGTTGATGCAAGAACTAAATTTGGCTCATCGATAAAAGTAACGGGTTTGCAGATGCAGAAGAATGAGAATAAGTTTGCACTGTCTGCAGCATAAAAGATTACAATTAACTGGCAATCAAAAAGTTGAAAGCAGGGAACAAAATTTGAACTATCAAAAGATGAGAAGTGCTATCACATACAACTGCAGTTGGATAATGTGTGCCATAACCCATAAGACGTTGAGGTGTTTGGTAACCAAGAAATGGAGCTGATGCTGATGGATATACCGTGGTAAACAGATCCTAAAATTGAGTTTAATTTTCATAAGGAACTCCCCATGTTCAAGCTTGCAAACTATTACATGGTGCTGGAATGAAATGATTACCGCAGGAAGTTCTTTTCTTCCGGTAGGCTTGGCCTCTGTGGCGGAAGGCTGTGTTGAAACTCCAGCAGTGGTTTCATGAAGTGATTTGTTCACTACTTGAGAAGATTGACTGGTTAGAACACTAACTCCATGCAAATTTGACTTAAGCTGAAGTTGATTGCATACGAAAGAAACCTAATTAGTTACCAAATAATAATGTAGCTATCTCACGATTTTGACAAATAAACTTACCTGGTTGTTTGGAGCCCTAAAAATAGGTGCACTAAATGGCTGCTTACTTGTCTGAACACTAGGAACATGGAATACAAAAGGCTGATGCTGGTGCATCATTGGCCAATGACCTGCATTACTTTGGTTTGGAGAAGAACCAGCTCTAGCAATAGATATGCTTGGAGCATTGGCAGTAGAAGCAGTCTGAGAAACTGACAACTGGGACAGCAGAGAATCTGGTGTGCTTACAGCTGAAGCTACCTGGGTCACTTTTAAAGCCGAAGAATCATCAAAAGATGCCCAACCTCCACTTTCAGCAGGGAAAGAGGTAGTTTGTTGAGGTACATACTGATCCAAAGCTCTGGCAACAGGAACAATAGGATCTGCATCGAAATCTATCAAATTTCCAGAGTTTACAAGCTTTGGTTCAGCTGAAATTCCAACATTGGATCCTCTACTAGGCAAAGATGCAGTCCTCTGAAATATAGTTTCACAGTAAGCATCAGACTTTTATGATCACGTATAAGAAACATAAAAATCAAGCTTCAAACATGAGAATTACAGAACAAAAGTAGACCAAACAACAGTTCCATGCAAAAATTATAACACCTTAGATTAGTCCCACATTAGAAGTGCGACAAGACTAAGGTTGACTTATATACGTCTGAGGGGTCTACTATTTATGCATTTTAAATTGATGGTTCAAGCTCAATGAAGTTACCAAGCCAGTTATCCCACGGGTTGTGACAATTGGTATCGAAGCCAACTTAGTATTGGTGCATGGTGGGAGGCTCGAATAGGAAGGGACTACTCGTGGATGAGCCGACGTGGAACCACCATTGAGCTATGACTCACATACACTATACTAGAGTTTGATTTTGGGCTATGTTGGGACTTGATGTCAAACCTTTAAGTGGGCCTCTATCGGATTAAAGGGGTAGATTTTGGTTCCTTACTTATTATGATACTTGCCTTTCTAGAAAATGCTAGCATCCTCACCTACAAGTGGGAACGAACAAAGAGCGTACAAAGCGGGTGCTGATATTCAATTAAAGGCTAAGGTTTAAGCTCAAAAAACTAGTAGTATATCCCGGTCCCTGTCTTATTAAGTATTAGGAGTAAGGTCCCATACTTCCATTATGTGCTCGTCAAAGTTTTAAGTGCCGAATATTGTAACACCTCAGTTAATCCCACATCAAAATTTGATAAAAACTAAGATTGACTTATATGGTTCTGGTGAGTCTATTATTATTAGCTTCAATTTAAACATTTTGGACCAGTGATTCAAGCTCAACGAAATTTACAAGCCAATTATTCCATCAGACAATATGCATTTGTAAGCATGGAGAACTGATTTCTAACAAAAGTGAACCGGCCCATAAGTGCAAAGGCATGAATCATTTCCATCAAAAACACACATCAATGTCAAATACTATCTTATTAATAACTAGAAAGTTTCACCTGTACTTGGGCAGAACTATGAGGGAATTGAAACCCAGTTGACTTGTTAGGCTGACCAATTGGAGCAGGTGGAATAATGTTGATTACTTCAACAGGCTTTATCTTAGGGGAATTAGACAGAGGTTGATGGCTTGGTAATCTCTCCTCAATCTTTGGACTGTCAGGAAACTGCTGATCCACAACTTTTTGGTCTTGGCATCTGTAACCAGGTTTATTATCTCTCCCCTTTTCATCTATGATGTCAAAACGGCCAAGACTCCTCTTGTGGTCATTTGCAAGACTTGCAGAACCAGGTTGTTCACCATAATGTCGGCCATCAAACGATGGGCTTACGATATCTCGAAAGGAATCCACCTTTCTTTTGTCATAAGAATCTTCAGCATTGACCTGCATATTATTACATTTTGTCACTTTCATATACTGTGATAACTCTCATAGGCCAAAGCACCATCAAAACCAACAAGATATTTGTTACAATATGTTCAAGGTGACAAGCAAAAGCAAATATCTCAAGATCTTACACAAAACACTCAATATCACCTTCACCATTTGTGGCCTGTCAAAACTCCTTTCCCCTGTGTATCTTCCATCCACATAGACGTTCTTAATAAATTCTCTGAGTCTGTCGATATTACTGAAATAAAATGTTGAATAAGCTTTACCATCTACACAGATATAAAAGAGCAGTCTAGAATCATCAGCAAACCTGTTATCAGGAAGTGAATGATGCTGTGGGTCCCATTCTTTGAAATAAATTTCCTTAGCACGCTGCATAGAGAAGGTCAAAGTCAAAAGAAACGGAAATCAATCAATAAAGTTGGAAGGAGAAGTTTTCACAAAGAGATGGCAGATTAAATGAGTGCTTGGATGCGTAGATTCCCAAACCTCGTTTCCTCCTTCTTGAAGAGCGGAAACTTCTTGTGATGTGAACTTGGCCATAGATATAGACTTCACACGATGTGTGAACTCCCGACTAGAATATGTAGATGTCATGAAGTCAACATAGGAGCCAAGAAGGAATAGTTTTGTCATCCGAGAAAATCAGGAAATATTTCATGTAGCATAACTCTGCATGGCCCTATACTGGTGTATGACAACAAAGAAAGAGAACGAAAGACCAACGGAACAAAAACAACCAAAATAATATGCCAAGAAACACTTACTGTATTCCGCTACAATTAATGCATATGAATGTCCAGAAATTTATGCACACATATTGAGGTCCCTGTTCAGAAGAAGGAAATAAGAATAATGATAAAGATCATTTCACATAAAATCACCACTCTACGATAACTAATCAGTGTTGAAAATATTAGATCGTGAATAAGTTATAAAGCAAGGACAAAGTAGTCGATCTTTAAAAAAAATTAAATGCAGATTATTCATTCTTTAAAATAACTACTCTGTTACTTGAAGATCGCCTTTTGTTGCCCTTAAGCAATTGAAAATTTCACTAGGGACTCATACCATATAACACAATCTGAAGTATATGACAGCATAGAACACTCTGTCAATATGATGGCCACACATGGCCACAAATGATAAGGTCCAGCTTCAATATAAGAATGGTGAATAACATCTGTGAAAGAAGGCCATACATATATGCTCGGATAGGAAGCAGAACTTCTAAAATCTCTTTAGTTACTTTGGAACAGTCAGTGAGAGAAATTTATTTAGATTAAGAATACATAAAAAAATCATTCATGGAGCTGAAGTACTGCTTTTGATTATGATGGTCAGAAATGGTCACAGAGACAATATGTGGCACTTCCAAGATCCTATCCTGACATAAAATTACTAAAATAACAAATTTGTTGCATGGCTCACTTGAGTTGGATAGTTAAATATAAAGGTTTTAGTTTCTCCTCTTTGTTGTAGCTGAAGACACCTTGTGAGGTATTCACTGCCAAAAGCTGTGAAAGAAGGATTACATGAAGTCCAAGGGCAGATAAAAAGTTGAGAATAGATAGGAAAAACACAACAGTGTCACTGAAAAGAAGGAAAAAAAAAAACTAAATTTCATTGCTAGCTTGAGCCATAGTACTCGAACTCAAGTTTTTGATGTGAAAGCTCGGGAGTTGAGGTAGTTGAATTTTACTAAAATAGTTTCATTAGCTATTGAGATATTATAAATACTACCAGGTGAGACTATAATATATTAGAACATCTAGAATATATCAAATTTAGTATATTAGTACATTGTGTCTCACACATATACCTTTAATAAAAAATAATTTAATAATCCAAAAAATAAACAAATAAAAAAGGAGACATGTTGATTATATCAAAATTAGGATGCACCAATATTTATAGTTTTTCATGGGTAAGGACAATGTTGTTGATATAAATGAATAAAAAAGGACTGGTTCGAATAGCATATAATAAGATCATCGAAAATATTATGAAAATACTTGTACTAGAATGTTTTATTGAAAATGTTCCGAAATATCAGGAAGATAACAATAGTTCTTGGTTTCAACTCTGAGACAAAGAAATAGTGAAATACCAGGAAAAATAAATAGTGATTTAAAATTATCTTTTTTCAGCTTCAGAAATGCCATTAGAGTTTGTGTATATCTATCTCTCGCCCGAGAAAATTCTCCACAATCATCACTATGGTCATATAAGAAAGCCAAATCTTTCCCTTTTTCTGTACGTCGTCTTGTTGCCCTGTGTTCTAATAAATCTACTAGTCAATGAACAAGAACACCACAGGATGCATATTTCTGCTTCTCGTATTTTATTGATTCCCCATGCATCACTTAAACAGCAAGTATATGGAAAAAGTTGTCATATAAGGTAGAAGGCTCCTACGTAACCAAAATTTATGTACATGAAATGATAGGATCGACAGAAATAGCATTTTTTTTTGCAGCTGGAGAAAGATAGGAGCTGAGGTAAAACTGGAGTTGGGGGAAGCAAAGAAATAGAAAAGAATAATACCAGGCTGTTGCAATTGATGCATCTCCGGTTTGCAGGAAGCTTCAGAAGCCCTCGAATGATCTTCTCATTCTTCTCGTCCTCCTTCTCCGGTCTCGCCATCGAGATCCACTCTCCTTCCACACTCTGAAAACAGTCCAAACCAAAGAAAAGGCATCATCAAGAAACAGATGAGAAACTCAACGACACGCCGACAAAACTCCGCAACGTCCGCAGCTTAGTAACTCAGGGAAGTAAAACCATCGAAAGAAGAAGAAAGAGTGAGCAAAAGTGACCTATCCTTTCCTTCTCTAGATCAGGGCTTCGAACAGAGAGGATTTGGGCAGGACGCGAGCTGCTGCGAAAGGAAGATGTGGGAGTGGAGGCGCTGCGATGAATGGATCGAATTAATCATAACAGAACCTCCGGGGGGCATTTCCGGTAATGAAAGGAATGCGCCGCCGCTCGCGTCGGGTTCGCCCTTCTAGAACGAGAACGTCAGCCTTGACGAAGGATGAATGGACTCCCGTTCTGGATCGCTCGCCCGCCTCATCGCTGCCTTTCTGGTTCCAGCTTCAGCTTCTGGAAGATGAGAATCGAGAGAAGTTTTCCCAACGTCTCCATCACCCGACACCCGATGCGTCGTCGAAGTCATTCTTTTCCCTTGAGCTGTTCCACCGCCCTCGGCCGGAAGTCAAGTCTACAACGCGACTCTTACCTCGTTGCAGCCGTTCCAGAACGCACCGCTGTGTCCCGTCACCGAAGGTTTGGCAACTTGATCGCTGTAAGAATCGCGAGAAGTCACTTGCCCAATGGCCCAGTGGGCCTCAGAAACAACATGGCCCAATGGGCCTCACCTACCAGACCTTCATTAATTACATCACACATTCAATTTCTATATCAAAGCCTTTCTTTATCAGATAAATTAAGTAGCATCATTGGAATCCATGAATCAAGGACTTGGTTAGAAAAAATTATGTGAATGTGTCATGTTTCACCTGTTGTGAGCAAACAAGTAGATCCAATGAACATGCTCATCCTTTTAGGGCTTCCCACAAAGTGAAGGTGATGATAGGGGAAGAGTAGGTTCTTGGGAATATAGGTTTGGATAACATGGCAACTTTAGAGCACCATGATTCCTCGATCCACACCACACAGACACACACAAGAAAAAGAAAGATGAATAATGTAATAATAACCATAACAGCAATTTGCAAAATACAATAGTTGCAAATATAGCAATGGGAATTATGACTTGTTGGGTTCATTTAACTTGCAGTAAGATGGTCTATGATTGGTTCTATGTTTATGAATGAGCACAATATGACGAGCTACTTCTCAACAAATAGGACCATGGTGAACCTAGAAATCAGCTTATCTCAGCTGTGGTGAGAAAGATAAAAGACACATAACACACAGATCACATGCTCATGAGACACAACTTGGAGGGAACATTGAGACTAGTGGAGAATTCATTGTACCAATCTAATAAAATAGATAACATAAGGCTTCGAGTAAGTTTCAGACTAACCCACCAACTGTCAAAAGAGAAAAGAAAACTCTTCTTGCAGGACAAAATGACATACAAATTGAGTTAGATGAAGGATCACAATGCAAAAGACAAGTCGGTTCAGCTCTCCATCAAAATCTATTGCTTAAAAAAAAAAAGATATACCAGGAATCTGATGATTTGCATAGCGCCGGAAAAGGGTTGTGCATTAGCATTTTGTTTAGTACCAAAAATAAGAGTTGCAAAATAAACGGTAGAATACAATAACAGAACCACAAATTTTGTGTTTCTCTAAGAAAGATTAGAAACTAGACATCAGCAATGTAAGGAAGCATTAAGGCTGTCAAAATTTCCAGTATACATGTTGTTTTGGGTGTAATATGTAACTACGACAAGAAATTAAAAATGGCAAGATGACCCCAAGCTATACAAACTACTAAAAATAACACTGTACTGGATTTTATCTAAGCATAGAAACATGCTTCCTAAGGTAAACAAGCAGATGCCTAATATCGAGTCAAGGAGATTTAGTTCAGCCTTCTCTTGCGTGAGCCAATTGTGCCTCCGTCAGCATCACAAGAACCAGAGATGCTACTTCTACCTCTCCTTCTGGCAGACCGAGAAGATCCCACGCTATTTGGTTCTGCAACGGCATCAGTAGCAACATCGCCTTGTATCACAGCGATGGTGCTAGAGGTAGGGGCCTGATCTGCCGCAAATGCTACTTCAACACGTATTCCACTCACCGGTGGATCATGATTTGGAGGATCAAGAGATGAAGTGGATGCATCAAATCCATGACTGCTACTTGCCAAGTGCTCGCCCGCGCTACCAATACTCGTCGTCATAACAGCCGCAGGCAATCTCTCTGAGCCAATGTCATGCCAAAGATCAACTCCATCTCTGAAAATATAATTTACATAATTTCTCATAGGGCTTGGCATATTGTTTTCAGGCAATCTGGCCTCTCCAGTGATAGATACACTGTCATAATTTACCTCCCTTGGCAGTCTTCTTTGTCTCCGGCTGTTTAAAGCACTTTGACTAACATTGTCAAGTATTTCTTGAAAGCTTACTTCTGCACTACGACGAACATTGTCAAATATTTCTTGAAAGCTTAGTTCTGCAAATGTCTCGTATCTATATCCACTACGCATGTGCGGATCTAGAAATCGTCTCCATGACGTTGCAATTCCCTCATCCAGTCTCCTTGGAACTGGGCAAAGCTGCTGCCTAAAACTTTCAAACCTATTTCCACTTGGTCTTGGCGGAATCTTTAGAGTTGATTGACCATCCTCCTCATTTTTCTTCTTGGCATGAGGTTGCAAACTCCCTCTACCATAAATAGGTGTGATGTTGGAATCAGTTACCTCTCCTTTGCATACAGGGCATTCTTTATGATCCGAATGGACATGCAGCCACTGATACAAACATGGCCAGCAAAATAAGTGACCACATGGAGTAACAACAGGTTCTGCAGCCATATCAAAACAGATGTTGCACTCGAAGTTAGCAGCATTGCTACCTTTCTCATCCCTCCCCTCTTTTGAAGTTTCCCCTGCATTGTCTTCAGCAGTCGCTATATGCTTCCCATTGCATTCCGGAAGTCTGTGGGAGTTCAACACATCATGAACCAACTGCTCAGGATTAGGCAGTGATGGTGAACCAGAACTGAACCTCTCGCCAGCATGTGGAAGCAAAGACCTAAATCGTCTGTTTCGCCATTGATTGCTAGGATCAATCAGCCTTCTGAAACGAGATTCACGGTAGCGGGTATCAGGCCTCGCAGAGGGTCCATTTTCTGGACACAGGAATTCACCTGTTTGTGCATTAACTGACGGGTAGAAGCTTAAGCTGGCTGCTTCATGGTCTTGAGGATTCATGGATCCAGTGACAAAAGGCGGCGAGTAAGGTATGGTTTGATCAGCAGGCCTGGGTGGAGAGTAGGGCACGTAGATTATGGGTTCATCAGTAAGTCTGGGTGGAGATGGCCGCGAGTACACCATGGCTTCATCAGCAAGTATTGGTGGAGATGCAGGATCATACAGCATAAGATCCTGGGCTGCAGTCTCATCAGGTTCTTGCACAGCTAGCAAGGGTAGAAAAATAGGAGAATCTGGGGCATGAGGCCCTTCAAGATCTTCAACAACTGGTGGAGTGGGTAAGATCGATGGACCATACCGTGCAAAAGAAGGGAAGTAGGGTGTGTACTCTGGGGAGTCCACCCTATCGGATGGGAGAACAGCCGGCAGGTCAGGAGTGTATTCAGCATCGGATGGAGAATATGGAGGGTGGGAATCCGATGGTTCCACGACACCTGACATGAGAATTGGGACTTCCCTGGCTTCGACCGAAGTGAAAGAAGACGACAGTGGCAATGAACTTAGAGCAAGATCAGAACCTAGATCGAAACTAAGAGGACGAGGGGAACGAGGCAGACCCAAGTAGAGATTCAGATCCATACTCCTGCTATTGCTTTCATTTTCCTAATCTGCAATTCCAAGACCGTAAAAACCCTTCTTTCTCTGAGTCCTAGCAGCAAAATCCCATCTTTTCCACTTTACCATCGAAATTCCTCGACAAGCCTAAATAAAAGAAGGAAGCAAAAGAACCCTAAGCCCAGCCAAGTTTAAAGAATGAATCAACGAAAACCAGCCCGAGAGGAAGGACTTTTGTTCCCTTCGACAAGGATTAGATATCCACGATGTCAAAAATAGTCCTCGAAAACAATAAAAGGGGTTAGGGTTCCGTTTACCGCAGCAAAGAAAGTGGCGATCAAAAATGCAAAACCCTGGAAACTAGGAATACATGTGTTTCGTCGGAGTCATAGACGAAGACAGGAAATTCCGAGGCCAAACGCGGGTAGAGGAAGAGATCGAAGATGCTCAGATTGAGGCCAAGTAGAAAAGATTTAGATACCTTCACCAGGAGTCGACGTCTTGGTATGGGTTCTGTTTCCCCTCCCCCCGCAGTGATCACCTTGATACAAGAGACGCGAATATCTTTATAGAGACGACGGTGCGTGATTATGGGTGCATGATGCCCGCATAACCGTCCGATTTTTAATCAAACGGCTCATATCAATTAAGATCGGAAGCGACGCCGAAGAGATTCACCACGATACGGTGGAAATTAGGTCGAGTTTGAGTCTCATCTATCAAATATAAATATATATATATATATTGCTAATTTTATTTTTTTTCGCATAATACTTATGTTTTCATTTTTATATGAAAATAATTACAATTACTTTAAATTATCATTTCTTATTTTAAAACCAATAAAATAAGTATATATTATTTATTTCAATCCTTTAAAGTGTGAAATTATGGTTTTCCTAATTTATCCAACTCAACTCAAGATGAATTCATCTTAACTTTGGAATAAAAACTGTCAGGTGATTTTCTTGAAAAAAACATCCCTTTTTTATTTTTTAAACAATATATTATTTTTTATAATTTCATAAATATTCTTACTCTTTCCTATCCCATCCACCCTTCTCGATCGTTAAGAGGAAAAGAGCACAAACAATGTTTAACTAAATAGCTCGAAATAAGATGATCCGCATATCAACCTATGCTCGGACCAATACATATCACTCATACCATACCATTTCAAGCGATATAGCACACGTTGCTAATAGTCACCTCTTACCTCTCCTTCACTTCTGTTCTCCCTCCTCGCCCATCACCCTTCCATCCTCGTTATCGATTGCCTCCTAGTGTCACTCATCTACTCCTCTCTCCCCTTCTTCTCTTGTCATTCTTCCTCGTTCAAGGCAAGAGTAAATTGTTGGAATCATTGATTAAAATTTTTGCTAGGATCAACAAACAGAGCTTCAAGATCCTCGAGAACAAGTAAAACAGGAAGAAATGTAATAGAATCATATTACTTCACATGACACACATAGATGTCCAACTTTATTCATTTATGATAAAACACTCGAAACTCATTCTTGAATATGCATTCAGATTATTCCACTATGAAGATAAATATTTATTCTCTGGGACTAAAATTTATCATTTGAAATCGCTCTTGAACGAAAAGACATAGGTAGCAAAGCGAAAGAATTTGATGAACCGCAAGCACCTAATACTGTCGGTGCACAAACTTTCTTCCATACAAAAGCATTTACATAGAAGCTCTATATCGTAATCTTGATATATAGTGTCAGGTCCTTGGGATTCTTATTGACTCGCTCTTCAATCTCCTCTGGTGTGAGCATGCAATCTCTATTCTCTTATCGAAAGGCATGTGTATCAAAGAGAGTTTTGATCACCTTCCTTGTAATTACATAAGAGTATCGTGTACTTACAGAAACCCGGTCATTTGGTAGCAGCAGGTCACCAGCAGCTTGGCTCTTCCTTGACATAACAGTTGCCAGGTCCATGTGCCTATCGAAAGAGAAAACAGCAGAAAGAGAAAAGATTTGAGGCTGAAGTACATTTTGATAGATAATATTACTAGCTGAGCAAGTTTACACAGTTGAATCCTCAAAACTCCTACTCATTTTATCAGCAACTAGTAGTTTATCCTTTTCAGCTTTCCTTGTCTTCTTCTTTCTTGCATGATTCGCTGCAATATGTTGTTAATTGTCAAATACAACCATACCATCAACTCGAGCTTCTCTCACATGTTTACTAGTGACATCAACGAGTCACCTGAACCTATCACCCTAACCAGGACTCTGTCTAATGTGGTACATCGGACACGGGTGACCAAAATCTGACATGCTAAAGAGCCAGCTCAGCCTCTGCTCAAGCATGCTTTGCATGAGTAATAAGGTTAAACTCACTGAACATCCAAAAACAATGTTATTAATCTCAAGCAACTTAACCTGGGCCAGTCCCATTCACCTAAGGTCCACCCAAGTCATTCGCTGCATGTGTAACCACTAAATAAGTCAACGAATCTCGATTGGCATCATGGTCACGTTGTATTGGTCAACCTCATCCTGTATCCAACCCAAGAATCAAGGTGCAACAAACTATACACTGAAATTAAACCATCAGAAGTCATAACTAGATCATCAATCACAAGTTCCTGCTATGCCATATCTTGAAATATTTTGTGTTTGTTTCTTATTCAGCAGCATGACATGTAGCATACCCACGTTTCATGCCTGAATCTTTCCCTACTGTGGTATGTGGTACAGTATAAATCAGCTGGTTCCCAAAGAACGAACATAGGGTGGTACCTCAATCCATCACCTAACGCCAACAGTGATAGCCCATAATTTTGACAACAATCAGACCACCAGATTCCAGCTTAGCCAGTTTCTTAAAATGTTAGATCTGAGAATCCGAAACTATAAGCTAAAAAAGAAACATTTGTTGTTCTTTCTGTATGATAAGAAGCACCATGCATGTTCATCTGCAGTTATGTTTAATGAAAAGATCTGAGTTGGTCTCTTTCTGATCTTCATAGTACTTCACAAATTATTTTGGATAAACCAGATGGCATTGTGGTCAAAATTAAATCTGAACCAACATCAACAACAAAAGCAAATTATGGTTTATCGACAACTAAGCACCTACGATAACATATAATAGACTTCAGAAGGGTGGTGACAAATTAATTAGCAAGTGGAAGCTTACCTGACTAGTATAGGGCAATATGGAATGCAGAAGATTCTCATTGGCATGCACAGGCAATGGAGGCATCTGGCTCATAACACCAGGCATTTCAAGCATGCTGTTGAAAAAGAAAAATCTTGTTCAGAAACTCAATCTAACATTAAAAAGTATGAAATATCCACTTGAACGACTATCAGATAGAAACTTCTGTTTCAAGTTCTTTAATCATTAAGTACCTATTTAGAGTCGCTGTAATGTTGTTGTTTGTGCAATATAAGAGATCGATGTTATTTTGTATCTGCAGACAAATTAAAAGGCATAAATAACAAAGAACCATATCTATGCTTCTGAATGAAGACGATAAAAAAGAGACTCATACACACTGAAAGGATAGCATGATCTGCCTATTTATAATAGTAACCAATCTGTAACTTACTGTGTAGAAAAATCTAGATCATAGTAAATCAAAATCTAGATAGATGACGGAGGAACATATGACAGACAAATGATAAGCGTCATGTACTTGTTATTTAAAAACAAAAAACAAAAAAGTCATGATATATAAGAAAGAATGGTAAATAAAAAGGTTAATTGTTACAATGAATGTACAATTGACCAATGATCGATATGCTTGGATATGTTAAAAGAAGCTTGGATAAATAGATAAATGCATGCCCTAAAACTTCCAAAAACTAAATAGTCATAAAAGATTATTAACAATCTGTGATACATAAATCTTAGAAACAATCAGTGTAACTTGAAATTTTACAATGTCATAAGAGTCTGAAGCATCTGATTATATGATTCAGAAACACATATGATAAAAGTACCAATGCACTTTTTAATAATGCTTAGTGGATAAATTGTTCTGTATTGAATAAGGGAGCATAGAACAAACCAGTGCAGATAAGTTACTTCATACACCCAAAGGAAATGAATGACAAATTCTGCTCTAGTTTAAAGGATAAGACTGCAATCACTCTGCTCCCTACAGCAGAGTAATATATCCAATTCTTCCATCTAGCACAATACAAATGGCATAACCTGATTCTCAGACCAGTATTCTATGAAAATAAAATATATAACTATTACAGCTCATAGCAAATGAGATTAAAATAGCTACCTCATTATTTTCAATGTTAACTGCAATCTGGTGAAGAAGTTTTACATTGTCTTCCAGAAGATTCTTTGTTCTGCTGTCAACCACTGGGAATGCTGAACAAACACGGTTAGAATTGAAACTACAAGAAAAAAAATATATAAAATTGGACCAAACTACCATTTACTAAGGAAAAGTCACAAAAAGAAACGTGTATGTTCGCCTGATGGAATAAGTGGTGATAACTATAGAATGAAGTTATCATAAAAAGGTTTATAAAGCAAGCACATTATAGGGGACCTAGATTATTACAAAAATAAGCTAAAACCTCTTTCATTACCAAGAAGTATAGCTTTGTAGACCAACTATTTTTTGCTTTCTGTCCTGCGGAGCAGGTATCTATCACAAAAAGTACATGCAAAAACATACTACACAAGTCTAACCTTCCAAACCATATAAAAACTTGTTCCATTGACAATTTCTATTGGAACGTATAACAAAAGATCAACACATGACTTATATACCAATACCATTCTTTCTTTTCTGATTATGCACCAAAATGTAAAGGGAAATTGGTAATGATTTGTAACTTAAGATTGCCTTTTATGTCGATAAGAACTTGTGGCAATAGAATCACATTCTTATTTGGTTTGGTCAAGCCCAAGTTGGAAATTCATGCTCACAAAAGAGTCTCAATCACATTAATTTTTATTTCCATTCCCATGCATATGCTAAACCGCTACAAATATTCAACATTATCTAAAAACACTGATGGATAGTCAAAAGATAACAAATATTTGTATCTGAATTGCAAAGGATAAGTTTAGAGGGAACTATATGAACTTAAAGAAGTACATGCAAAAACTATCTCATATAAGCATTTTCATTCTCTGAAAAAGAAAACCATATGCCAGATTTTCACTAAGGACATAGATTAATAACATTAGCATTTTAGACAAGTTAAATCATCGACAAAAATTAGCTATCAAGCTAAGCTCAAGTGTCTCAGTAATAGCACCAAACCTTCAGATGAGAACTGATTCATATGGTTCCCATCACACATCATGACAGAATAGGCAGATTCACTGTCAGGTTGATTATAATGCATATTGACCATTGAAGAACAACCTATCATCTTCTCCTGAACAAAATTTTGATACGACATCAAAACCACAATATTAAATTCTTGTAATTTGGATCATTCAATTAAAAAAGAGGAAACTGCATGTCCAAACTACAAAAGTTCCATTCACTTCTTTCTTTTTTAACTAGAAGATAATGTTGTCCCTTCATTATGATCTTTTCTTCATAGAAAAATAAAAGCTAGAAAACTGAAAAAGTTCAGATTTAGTTGAATTTACAGAGCCATATGGGGTACTAGCAATGATTGAAATATCATACCGTACCGGAGTTTCGACATTCGGTCAGTACGGTACGATACTGTATACCGAGCGGTAAACCGTTCGATATACCACTCGGTATATATATATATATATATAT